TTCTCTCCTTAAGAATAAGGGATTGAGCTGATTAGTAATTGTGTCATGACTTGTAAGAACCATATGCGCTTAAAAAGTCATACTGTAAGACTGATGAATGTAAAGATGGTTAATTTAAAGCTATGGTTTTGCCTTAATGGTTTAAAAATAAAATATTTTTAAAAATTGGATCACAAGTTTTAATGAGTGGTGCATCATGAATGGTGTTTGATTTTTCCAAATGTGTCCTGTATTTTTAAAGCAAACAGCTTTGCCACCCTCTGCTGACTGCATCCAGCACTTAATCAGAAAGAGCTGAAAGTCCAAATTGGGTCCCTCATTCTGTAAATACATGTTTATATACACATGAATAACTTTTACACATGTGACTAGCTCTGTTTTAAACTCAGTGGAACTACTCACTTAGCTGTTCACGTGAATCAGTGTTTGCAGGGGTCAGGGCTTGCTTAGGTTAGTATCTCATGAAGCTTTGTCAGATAAAGATTGATAGGTATCACTGGAAAAAACGTGTTCCTTTGCAACATCCTGTACCACTACAATAGAACTGGTTTAATTTGTAATAGAGCTTTATTTTAGTGTTTTTTCCTTCTAGCTTTTGATATGCAAGCCCCAGTGCAGAAATCACTTAAATGCTTAGTGAGTAATCCCACTGATTTCAGTGATGCCACTCATGTGGAGCTGAGCATATAAACAAGTGTTTTCAGGATTGGGGCCCAAATCTTTCATGGTAACATGATGTACTAGTAAAGAAATGTGCTGAGTATGCTTATTACATAACACGACTTATGCACTGTGAGAGCAGTTTTTAAAAGAACAATATCAAGAGTGTATTTAGAAAAATGCATCCTATCTAAAACCTTGGCGCTTGTGTGATAGGCTGCTTCTGAAATGAATGAGACTACTTATGTTAGTAAGCAGCATGGCCCCAATTCAGCAAAGCATTTAATGACATACTAGTCATCCCTGTTCAGCTAACCCCTTAAGCACATCCTTAAAGTGAAGTATGTTCTTAAGTCCTTTGTAGAATAGGGATGACTGTTTGAATCAGGCCTTATGCTGGGTAGTGTTCGCAGACTCAGGCCCCTATTTTGGAATAACAGTGAAGAGAGTCCCTGAAATATCCCAGAGCGTAATTACCAATAGCCAGAACAGTTGCTTGAATTCATTTGCATTTTGTAACTAGAAAAAACTTTAATCAAGTCATTATTCTCCCAGATCTAATTTATATCATCACAAGTTACTGTATTATCGCATCTGCCTGGACCTTTGCTCTAGCTCACTTGTTCAGTGCTAAATATCCTGTTACATCATCAGCACAGATCCTAGAAATCAGTTTGCCCTGGAAAAATGTGGCATTTAACATTTTGTGAAAAAAACAAAAACACATTAACTATTAACTAAGTTTTACTGAAAGTACCAGTGTCACGTCTTATTCAATGTGTGCAACCTCCCCCTCTTGTGGTAGATTGTTGAATGTGCTTTAAATTTACATAGCTAAACATACTCCAATAAACTGCTTCCAGCATGCAAAGCTTACTCAATGGTGTATAGGTGTTCTTGTTTTAATGCATCTCAAATTTCACTTCAGCCTCCAGATATGACTAATTAAAGTTATGAAAAGATGCCAAAAACTTTAAAAATCACCCCTAAAGACTGTCACTGAGCTTGCAAAGGACAAATTTCACATTGCTGGTAATGTTCTGTACGGTATGCAGCAAGGCTGTAGATTACGTTCGAAGGCAGACAATTGTTGAACACATGGAAAGCACTAAACATAAAAAGAAACAAAAATGAGGCTGAAACAGTAGGACCATTGACAACAGTAAAGAAACAATGTGATGGGCTCATTCCAGTGTTTTACAACAGTAAATATATCAATAAAACATTGTGTTCAACTGATATCTCTATATATAGTGGCTAGGGAAACTAAAGTTCAGTGTTTCATTTTAATTGTGGAAAACATGGATTTTTATGGGGGGGTTTATTGAAGAATTTTTGTTTATCACTGAAAACTAGGATCCCTCATCATCAGGTCACTCCTGGCAAAGTTGGAGCATTTATTAGCTAGGAAAGAAGAATGCTGAAGAGAAATCGTCACAGAGGCTGGAGAAGCATGCTGCTGCTCCAACCATGTAGTGATGAGTGGTGGTTGATGGCCTGACTTTCAGCAGTGCTGAGCATCCAGTGACCTCACTGAAACCAATGAGAGCTGTAGTTGCGCAGCAGCTTCTGAAAATCTGGTCATGTGGCTGAGAAATCACAGACGTGGTGTCGGCGGTTTTATGAAACCATATGCAAAATGACACAGGGACTTTAAAACTAATTCAGTAGGGAGAACAAGACTGCCACTATTAGAGCCTGTATATGGCAGTAAGGACGGGTACGCTCCAGGTGTAATTGTCTATGATTTTGGCTTGGAAATTTTTAGTAAATTTCACAGCAAAGATGTGGGGGGAAAGCAAGTCCCTAAAAGTGCAGGGTGGGGGAGAGTTTGGAGAGCGAGTCCACTTCACACTCACTCTGCAGTGGTGGCCTCTGTCCTGCAGGACTGGGCCCAGCTCCAACCATTGCAACCTGGAGCACAGGGTCACAGATCACTTAGGGTTGTTCTAGCCACGCCTCCATCTGAGGCGGGGCAGATGGGTCAAACCTGAGTGACGCTACAATCCTATGCTCTATGTGCAAAACACTACAGCTGTGTGTGCAGGGCCAATGATGAAATGTACCTGTTGTTGATGTGCTGTACCAGAAGATGAACTAGTTTCTGTTTAAAAACTTTAGGATTTTCACATTACTTTCTTTTATCCCAGATACCATTGACAATTGCTTAAAAAAAAGGTTGGGTTGACTGTGAGCATGATGGTTTAAAACTGTTCTTTCAACATGTCTAAGATGATGTGTCCTTTTGAAACCTACATTCAAGACAGCAGCCTTTCTTTTCCCCCATCCACCCCTTCTGTTTTAAATGCTGTCTAATTTGTGTTAAAATCCCTTTGTTTCAGGGTCTTTTAGAAGGATCCCTCCTGGTACAAAATTACCATCCACTTTCACATAAGCTGGCAGACACCAATACATAATTACTATATTTTTTTAAACAAGAAAAGTACATTATTACCTTCCCATCATGTATCTCTCTCTGCTTTTTGCAACCTTAGTTTTAGAGTTAGGTGAGACTTAGTTACCCGCCCACGATTAGCTACAATTTTCAAAGCTTTTTTTCTGACTGTAGACATTTAACATAAATTTGAAATGTAAAGTGGTCTGTTTTACACTCTGGTAAGTTTAACATTCCAGATCTATTTTTTCTGGATGGGAACACCTTCTGTTAATGCAATTTTTCCCATGAAAATTTGACTAAGAAGGAAATCCAAAAGGTTAAGTTCTGGCTTACACACAAGTGTAGATAATGCAAAAGCATGTACATTCTTTGATCTTGTTTGGGTGATGCTGTAGAAATGTGGGATGCTATGCAAAAGCAATTTTTTCCCATAAAAAGCTGATAGCTCAGAAGTTTGCAAGCTAAGTTGTAAATAAAGGTCCTGCTCCTGCAATTGGTCAGCAAACATCTTTGTCTAACTGGAGCCCTGCTGCATTCCATGGAACTCCATGTAGCTCCAAAGATGTCCACACAGAACCAGTTCCAGGACTGTGAGAGGCCTAAGAGTCCAATCCTACAAGCCTTATTCTTGTGAGTATTTGCACTGAGTAGCCTTTGGACTCTGTGTTTGTTTGTTGTAACCACCTGACTTCAACCTTGTAATTTATTCACCAGTGATGATATCACAGTAGAAGCCACCCTCATATCATTATAATAAACAGGTACTGTAGTGATCAAAGAGGCCCTGCTGTTTAAATTACATTTCTTTAGAATGACTGGACACTACTGTTCCTACAAGCAATGTGGAATTGACTAGTCCGCTTTTAAGTTAAGATAGCAAAGCTCTGCTTTCTGTGGGACTAGATGACTCAGAGGAATAGTAATGAGCTCTGGAGTTTGACCTTTAGGCCAGTGGTTCTCAACCAGGAGTTTGGGGCCCTCTGAGGGGCTGCGAGCAAGTTTCAGGGGGTCTGCCAAAATAAACCCGAGAGCAGGGCCAGCGTTAGACTCACTGGGGCCCAGGGCAGAAAGCCGAAGCCTGAGGCCCGCCACCCAGGGCTGAAGACGAAGTCTGAGCAACTTAGCTTTGCGGGGCCCCCTGTGGCATGCAATTGCCCTGCTTGCTACCCTGAATGCCGGCCCTGGCTTTTAATCTACTGGATATGCAGTAAAACAGTTGTTGTGGCACAGGTGGTCCGTGGAATTTTTATAGCATTTTGTGGAGAGGGTCTCTGCAAGAAAAAGATTGAGAACCCCTGATCGAGGCCACTAGCTCAAATCTGGCCTGGGTCAGCCCTGAGTGAAAGTTATCATCTGATTGTTTAATTTACACTGTGTGAATCAGTGGGTAGTCCAGCACTCAGACTGCTGTCAACATACTAGTTTCTGACCACGTTAGTCAATGTAGTATTAATCTGCAGCCCTAGTAGATTAAAATATTGCAGTCAGTGTCCATCTCTCTAAATATTCATTCAACACTGATCTCAAACAAATCGCTTGGTACAGCTAACTCCACTCTGTAATGGATTATTTTGGCAAATTAACCATTTACTTGTTATAAAAAAAAATCAGGTTAAAATTCACATTGACTTTAATTTTTCTATAAAATATCCCATGCAAGTAAAGCAAAATCAATAAAGGCCATCATTTCAATAATAATTGTTTAAACCCGCACAGCCTAATTTAAATCTCTCTTGAATGTCTCTCTAATTGCCCAAGACAGGCAAGGGTTAATCTGACAGAGTATACTGGCTGAACTTTATTATTTCCAAATAAATCATATTGTCCAGTCAAGAACAAAAAATGATCTGGAAAGCATTCTCTTTTTCTAATTTGTAAAGGAAACGCTGCACCTAGGAAGGAATCCTTTCCCACTCTCCCCCCCCACCCCCCCATTCTGTTTCCACATCATTGGAAGTTGGAGTGAAAAGTGGCTGCAGTCTTGTAAGTATCAGCTGATATGTTCCATTGCAAGTTTATCTGCTTGCAGAAGTCATCATGTGGCATTAGTCTTGACGCAATGGCCTCCAGACCACATACTTTTCTATGAATATCCATTCTGATATGCTCTGTGATCGCGTGCTGTAGAACAGAAACTTGGGGGGCGGGGAGGGGAAGAGTCAGAAGGCATCAGGTTCTTTGTCTATCATAACCTTAGTAAAGTGATACTGTCAAGTTAACTATTATGGGCCAGATTCTCAGCTGGTGTAAATCGTCTTCAGTTGCACTATCCTGACAAACGACTGAGAATGTTGCCTGTATTTTTACTAACACTTGCACGTAAATGTCTAACACGCTAGCTCTTAAAAACTGTAAAATTCTGACTTATTTTCCAACCTTTACGCTGTTTAATATTTGCACTACATGTAACCTGGTCAGTGACCACAGGCTTGGCTGCTTCCCTTTCTGGTTCTCCTGCAGTAGCCCAGTGCTGCAGTGCCTGCACTGCAAACACTCAATGGGAATACCTAAATCCAAACTAACTTAAAGAACTGTCATGAAAATACTTGTACTGGTAGTAAATTGCCTAAACATCATCTTTACAAAAATCTACATTTTTAGGTCCAACAAAAAAACCTCTGAGCAGTGTCTCTTCCAGTTGTTTTTAATTTAAGTTCTTGCATCTGTTTTTTTGGAGGGGTGGGATTTTGAATGAGACTTCCTTTTATCCAAGTCTTGTCGTATTTCCAAAGGAAACTCCTGTAGGTTTTCATTAACGCAGGGGAGGCAGAACCTTTTTGAGTAGAATAGACTACATTCCTGTAAAAATATATGTATAATTAGCAGTATAGAAAAATGGAATTGGTTACGTTACAGCTTTTCTAAACAGTGTTTTTCAACCTTTTTGATCCCAGGGACCGGCTTGCTGCCTTCCTAAGCTGCGTCAGGGAGATCTCAGGGACTGGCACCAGTCCATGATCCAGTCATTGAGAAACACTGCTATAAACCATACTTTGTATTCAGTGTTCTCCCTCCTCCATTCAGCTCATGTAGCTTCCCCACTAATGGAGAGATCATTCCTGGTTCATTCAGTGGGGTAGGAAGCTTTCTCCCTCCAACCCCAATTAAGGGTTAAAGGCAATTGTGGTCTTTACACATTGCCACAAAGGAGGTTATGAGAGACACCATTTCTTATGGCAGTGCCCAGCTTTACTGTAACTTCAACTGCGCCGTGGTCCACAGCCCACTACAAAATGTACTATTCTTTGTACTGATCTATATGCTTAGTGTTGCCATGGACACAGAACCAGGTACACAGACATTGTGGTGGTGAACTCCTCAGAAATGCTTTATCAATGAACAATGGAATCTAAAACATAGTTTAATTCAACTGTAAAATTATCCATTTACCACTGCCTTCTTAAATTAGTTCTTTGGGGGGAGAAAAAGGTGGTATTGAGGGGAGAAAACTCTTGTAGCTAAATTGGAGTTGGCCATGTAGATTACTCCTGCTTGAGTTTTTGCTGGGGTACTGCCACATCTGTTGTGAATAAGGCCAATGTTTTCCCTGATTCTATTGTGTGGTGACTCTTGGATCTAGCATATTTCACAGATGATTAGCCAATGCTGTAGGCCCAAAAATGTTGACCCAGTTGGCTCTAGCCAGATACTTGTTATAAAGGAAGAGGTGAAAGCATAGCTAGGATATTTTAATCCAATTTGCAATGCACAAGTTGGCCAACCTTGAAGACAAGGTTATTAATGCATCTGTTTCTTTGCCCTGTAGTGGGACCAAAGTTTATGGTTCTGCTGGTGTAGACCACTAGGTTCCTCCTGGGATTTCATGCATGGAGCTGGCATTGGTATTGCTGGAGGATTATTCTTGGGACTAATGATTATTCTTCAAGGCTAATAAATAATATGCCTTTTTATATGTTTTTCTTACAGGTACTAAGTAAATTTGGTGCTTTCATGCATTCAGTAGTGAGACAGGTTGGTATTACTTTAGGACATACATTTTCAGACCAAGTCTCAGAGATGGGGCTTTCCAGTGTATGGGTATTTGTTATACCATCTAGACAGCCTACTGTCCCTGGCTGCCCTTCATTCTTTATAATGCCACTGACAGAGTGGTGATTTTCAGTTTTTAAATTGGCCCTGCTATTATTATTTTTATTCTAGTAGCACTGACAGGTCACACCTGGGATCAGGGCCTTGTCCCTACATACAGCAAGAGACAATTCCTGCTCTGAAGAGCCTACAAGGTAAGAAGACACGAAGGAAGCCTTGTATCCCCTTTTGGAGATGATGAACCAAGGCCCACAGAGATTGAGACTTGCCTAAGATTACACCCGCAGTCTGGGGCAGAGCTGGGAATTGAACCCAGGCTTCCCAAGTCCATTGCTTTAATCACAAGACTCTGCATCATACTGGTTCTTAAGTCCTCTAAGATGTAGACCCTGGGTGTATTCAAGATCTCTTTCTTTGATGCTTGTCCTGCTGGGAGTCAGCAGTCCATTACCATCTACCATTTAAGGATCCCACAATCATGCCCCCACTCAAGCCTTTGCTGTGGTGAGCATCAAGGAGCAAAATTCACTTCCCAGTCTTTCCAAATATGTATCTGTTCAGCTTTCCTTCTTTTGCAAAATACCCTAAGTGGTCAGATGTTATTTTGAGGGTATGTCTTCACTACCGGCCGGATCAGCGAGCAGCGATAGATCCAGCAGGGATCGATTTATTGCATCTAGTCTAGACACGATAAATTGATCCCCAAGAGCTCTCTCGTTGACTCCTGTACTCCAGCTCGGCGAGAGGTGCAGGTAGAGTCGACGGGGGAGCGGCAGCAGTCGACTCACCGTAGTGAAGACACCATGGTAAGTCGATCTAAGTACGTCAACTTCAGCTACGTTATTCACGTAGCTGAAGTTGCATAATTTAGATCAATTTCCCCCCCCCCCCCCCCCACTGTAGACCAGGCCTTATAATCATAGAATATCAGGGTTGGAAGAGACCTCAGGGGGTCATCTAGTCCAACCCCCTGCTCAAAGCAGGACCAATCCCCAACTAAATCATCCCAGCCAGGGCTCTGTCAAGCCTGACCTTAAAAACCTCTAAGGAAGGAGATTCCGCCACCTCCCTAGGTAACCCATTCCAGTACTTCACCACCCTCCTAGTAAAAAATTTTTTCCTAATATCCAAACTAAACCTCCCCCACTGCAACTTGAGACTATTACTCCTTGTTCTGTCATCAGGTACCACTGAGAAGAGTCTAGATCCATCTTCTTTGGAACCCCTTCAGGTAGTTGAAAGCAGCTATAAAATCCCCCCTCATTCTTCTCTTCTGCAGACTAAATAATCCCAGTTCCCTCAGCCTCTCCTCATAAATCATGTGCTCCAGCCCCCTAAACATTTTTGTTGCCCTCCGCTGGACTCTTTCCAATTTTTCCACATCCTTCTTGTAGTGTGGGGCCCAAAACTGGACACAGTACTCCAGATGAGGCCTCACCAATGTCGAATTGAGGGGAATGATCACCTCCCTCGATCTGCTGGCAATACTCCTACTTATACAGCCCAAAATGCCGTTAGCCTTCTTGGCAACAAGGGCACACTGTTGACTCATATCCAGCTTCTCGTCCACTGTAACCCCTAGGTCCTTTTCTGCAGAACTGCTGCCTAGCCGCTCGGTCCCTAGTCTGTAGCAGTGTATGGGATTCTTCCGACCTAGGTGCAGGACTCTGCACTTGTCCTTGTTGAACCTCATCAGATTTCTTTTGGCCCAATCCTCTAATTTGTCTAAATACCTTTGTATCCTATCCCTACCCTCTAGCGTATCTACCACTCCTCCCAGTTTAGTGTCATCTGCAAACCTGCTGAGGGTGCAATCCACGCCATCCTCCAGATCACTGACGATATGAAACAAAACCGGCCCCAGGACCAACCCTTGGGGCACTCCGCTTGATACTGGCTGCCAACTAGACATGGAGCCATTGACCAGTACCCGTTGAGCCCGATCTAGCCGGCTTTCTATCCATCTTATAGTCCATTCATCCAGCCCATACTTCTTTAACTTGCTGGCAAGAATACTGTGGGAGACCGTATCAAAAGCTTTGCTAAAATCAAGGAATAACACATCCACTGCTTTCCCATCATCCACAGAGCCAGTTATCTTGTCATAGGAGGCAATTAGGTTAGTCAGGCATGACTTGCCCTTGGTGAATCCATGCGGACTGTTCCTGATCACTTTCCTCTCCTCTAAGTGCTTCAAAATTGATTCCTTGAGGACTTGCTCCATGACTTTTCCAGGGACTGAGGTGAGGCTGACTGGCCTGTAGTTCCCCGGATCCTCCTCCTTCCCTTTTTTAAAGATGGGCACTACATTAGCCTTTTTCCAGGACTTCCCCAATCAGCATGAGTTTTCAAAGATAACGGCCAATGGCTCTGCAATCACATCCACCAACTCCTTTAGTGCCCTCGGATGCAGTGCATCCGGCCCCATGAACTTGTGCTTATCCCGCTTTTCTAAATACACCTCTACCTCGATATAACACCGTCCTCGGGAGCCAAAAAATCTTACCATGTTATATCAAACTTGCTTTGATCCACCGGAGTGCGCAGCCCCGCCCGCCTGGAGCGCTGCTTTAGCGCGTTATATCCGAATTCCTGTTATATTGGGTCACTTTATATCAGAGTAGAGATGTAGTCCTGAACCACTTCTTTCTCCACAGAGGGCTGGTCACCTCTTCCCCATACTGTGCTGCCCAGTGCAGTAGTCTGGGAGCTGACCTTGTTCGTAAAGACAGAGGCAAAAAAAGCACTTGGCCATCTATCTATCACTTCTCCTTTTGGACCCCGGGGGTTTTAAAACTGCTTTCTTTGCATGGCATTGTACACCATACTGAGGTACATTGGCCAGGGATGTTTTAAGATATTACTGTTAAGTTACACAACCCACAACAGAGTACAAATAGCTCCTCTGCTGGTTTATTTTTGATTGAAACAGTCCAGAAATGCTGAGTGTTATTGCTAAATGCATTTGATAACCATCTTCACACATTTGGCTTTATATCGAGTCAGGCCAGTTTAGGAGGTATTCCCAGTTCCTTGCACACTTGTGGCCCTGATCCCACTGATTTAGCTAACTTGAACAGGCAAAAGACAGCTATTCAGGTGGGCACGTTTATTGCTATCACTGAGAAGCTCCAGGTTTTTGTTAGGAAAGATACTATCTAGGAAAATCTTGAAAGCTCATACAGAAAAAGGTTCCTAAAAGAACCACAACCCTCTGACTATTAGAAAAGGCTTCTAACAGAAGGCCTAAATGCCTAATGCATTGTTATGCCAAATGAATTCAAATACTTAATAAACTGCACTAATCCTTTAAACTTACAAATGGTAGCTCCCACTTTCCTATTAATGTGTGTTTGGTTGAAACTCCAAATCTGTGATAAATTTAATTGGTGGAATTGAAAATGCCAGTTGAAAATCTTATGTATATCAGCTGTTAAAGTATCCTGAATTTAGGGATGTACTCAGTTAAGTGTGCCTGATTTACTCCTTTACATTGCTAAATAACTCAGCTGCAGACAAACAGCTTCAAGGGTTCAATCCATTTCCCACTGAAGCCCTCAAATGACTCAAGACTTCAGAAGAAGAAACAAATCTGTTTGTCATCTGATAATTTTCTGATTTCCATAAATCTAAGCAATGGAAGAGAATTTCAGAAGGGGAAATAAAGCTATAAGGAGAAAGTCTTAGAAAACTTGTAGTTGTTATGACTTAATTTTGCCCCAGTGAACATAGGGAACCAAATCCATCCCTGGTGTAACTTCTCTGAAGTCAAAAGAGTTATACTTGAACTTGACCCACTGTCGCTGGCCCAAATTTATATATGCTACATTCCTGCAATATTACCTTGATCAATGGAACGTAGAGGAATTTGGCCTCACTATCTTTCTCCTATACAATATTCTGTATTTTCATCTGCTTCCTCAACAAATGCTGCCTTGCATCAGAATTTGAAATGTCTCAATTGCCCATTTGTGCTATCACACCATGCTCCAATCTCCGCTTTGTCCCCTGCCCCAGCATGACTCCTACACCAGGGTTTGCAAGAGGGCAACAGAAAGGACTTATGGAGGCCCTATGCTGTGACTGCACTGGGGATGGAACAAGTCCAGCAAGCTGTGGTACGTTCATCACCCCGATCCACTGCTGGGACAGTAAAGAGGGGGCAGAATTTGTCCCATGGTCTGTTGTAATCGCAAAGGGATCTGAAGGTTTGGAAAGAGATCTACGACTCCCTAGCACTTCTACTCACTGAAAGAGCGCTGCAGTTGGGAGTGTGGATTTCATTCTTTTGAAAGCATGACCTGCAGCAAGTTTGTACACATTCTCATTTAATATATGGAACAACGTTTATGAGAATTGGCAGGACAAAAAGGTAGCTCATTGAAAACAAAAACAAACATACAGACTCTTTGGTTCTCCCCTGTTGCTGTTTGATCTTTCACCAATAGGCTGGAACAAAAATGAGCGCAAAAAATGCACCATGTATCACATGTTACTTACTGTGCCCACACACACCCGTCTGTTACACAAACTGCACTGAGATCCAAGGATAAGGAATTTGTCCTTGTCAGGGACGAAAGGATCTTTCATGACATAGCTTTCTTCCAGGAGGCTAGAAGAAAATAATTCCATGCTTTAAAAAACCAATTTCAACCTGTGTCTGTTCTTTCCACGTGAAGATCTCTTAGCAACCGATTCATTATTATTGCCGTAATAGGTATTCCACACAATTTTTAACCACATTGTTTTAACCTACATTTTTACTATTACATAGCCAAATTAAACACCGTTTCAGTTCAGGCCATTCAACTGTGCGGTTTTTAATTTGGAGTCTGTTTCAAAAGTTCTGCATTTACATATAAATGCCTTTACTACTCCTAGCTATGTCACTTCTGTAAACCTAAAATTCAAACTCTCGTTGGCAAGAGCTGTTGGCAGGCAGCAAAATAGTGATGTAAAATACTCCTGTTTTAACTCTTACCAGCTCAGGCTACCCTGCTGCTCAAGAGAATTAAGGTGATGCATTTCAAGAAGTTGGCAGCTTCAGGAGGGGGAAAGACAAAGGCCTTGGTCTTCCCAGGCATGCCAGATGGCTCCTCAATGAAGTCAATTATGCGTCTGCTCACAGCCTTGCAAGACTGGCTCATTATTGGATGAGTTTGATTTAAATCAGAAATAAATTCACAGTGAAATGGACAACAGAACAGAAAAACCCAAAAGTAGTCTTATACCCCCGTGCTGCCCTTTTTATGTAACTGGTAATGTGGGGGAAGGGAGGTGTTTACTCAAACATTGAACTATCCTGGAATTTAAAGCATTATAGCCATTAGTTCTGGGTAGAAAAGCTGGTCTATAAGCCTTGTAGGACACTAGGCCCCAAAGAATTAATGAATACACAGTGCTTTGCCTAGGTGTAATTAAGACTCATTTACACCCTTAACATAGGGTTTATTTGATGCAAATTCTGGTCTTCGGGCATGTCTTCTGCTCTAGCCTGAATTTTGCCCAGCTTACATTAGAAATAGCAGAACAGAAAAACATGAACAAGGAGAGTATGGGGAATAATTTTTTTGGTACTATGTTGCCATTTCACTGAATAACCCAGTTTTAGCTTCACATTCATGTCCCCATTGCAAAAACATGGTTCTTAGTTCTTCTGACTAGAGGAAGACTAGAAGCCTACTGGCACTTGGATTCATATATGAGGACCATCCTGATGAGGCAAGACTGTCTCCCATTAAGTCATGGTCCAATGCCAGACCAAGCTGGTACTGATCAACAGTTGTTACCATTTTACAATGTGCTCAGCCATCTGGCCTCAACCCAGCCAAGCACGTACTTAACCTTAAGTCCCATTGACTTCAGGCCTCTGCCAGGTAGTCTCATTGACTTGGATGGACTCAATGGATTTACTCATGTTCTTGAAGTTAAGCACATGGGTAAGTGGTTTGCTGGAGAGCTTGGCATTTGGCAAGATTGAATTCTGACTGCACAGTTGTTGGGCCATGCTGTACCTATCTGTTCTAGCAGAGATTTGTCTAATTCAGGCAAATACACTTCTAAAGATCTTCTATATTATATGGAAAACTATTTAAACAACCCTACAAAATGTGGTTTACCACATGCATTTAACCCAGGCATTAATTAAGGCACCAATTAGTTGATATACAAGGCATTTTGTGCAATATTGCATCATTCCCCAGTGTGAGATTTCTAAAATCCAAATACGTTCAACGAGAGCTACCACAGAAGAGATTGTACTTACACAACAGAATGAGTGTTTGGGGGTTTCTGCCCATAATAGCTGTATGGGGCTGTTAGCCCACATAGTTGGCATTCAAAGTCTCCTTTCGGCTGGGCTTCTTTGCGGGAATCCATCTATAAAGCTACATACATGAAAACAAATCCTTTTAGATTCAAAATGCAGTATTGGGAGCACCTATGAAAGGTAATTAAACTGAACTACTCCAGTAGTCCTATCTAGCCTCACCAATATCAGAGAAAGAATTTTGGATAGCAGCACAAAGGGTCTGAAGAGTAAACATCAAAGGGAGATCCTGTTTTTACCTCTCCTCTTCTCACATTGAAAACTAATACTCTCTACCCCCTAAAATAATTTAAAAAACCAGTAAGTGCTTACAGCTAGGGTCCTCAAGCTGTATTTAGGCTCCTACACAAGTGGCCTGATTTTTAAGTGCTGTGTCCCCCAGCAGCTCCCATTAAAGTAAGCAAGCTGCTCATTTAGGGCTTAGATGTCTCAAAGCTGCCTGAGGATTTGAACAGCCTAGGTGTCTAAATCCCCCAGACAGCTTGGAAAATTTCAGCCAACATGCCTAAAAAGGGCTTTAGGGGCCTAACTTTATGCACATGTTTTTCAAAATCTTGACTAATCAACAATAAGAACTGTGTTCTCTCTAGTTTCCATTCACTTTCAACCCAGGCCACATCTTTCTGAGTTTTCAAAAAGCTTGGTTTGGTGCATATTACAGATTGCATTCTGATATAATCAGACACATGCAACCAATTTTAACACAGGCACTGTATGTGTGTATGCACAAAATTAACACACATCCACACCTGGCTACTTGGTTGCACACAAGGTTGCCTGATTGGCATGCACAAATGCACAATTCCATGGGCACAACTATTGTGCCATATTTGAAAGTTATCAAAAATGAGTTCTGTTTTTCCAGTTTCCTACTGCTAACCCCTAACCCTTTCAGGTCTAACAGCAGTACCATCTTGTACTGTGACCCTGACAGATCTGGGCTGGGTCAGCACTGAACGAGACCCTGTCAAAGGATAGCTGGTCTCTGTGGATAGACTTAGCCCAGCGTCCCTGGACTGGAGCAGGTGAGCCTAGTCCAGCTAATTAAAGAGGGTTGGGCTCCATCTGGTCCTATAAAGGGCTGCTAGTGGGCAGTTGTGTGGGGGAATAAATCACAGTGGAGTGGTGTTAGCACTGGTGGTGGGTCCCCAGAGCTAGGGGTTTAGGGAAGTAGCCCTGTAGATGCTGTCCTAGTGAGGAAGCAGAGCTGACTGAGGCTTAGGGTTACCATGTCTGGTTTTCAACCAAAAATTCTGGTCAAAAGGGGACATATACAGTGTCCAATCAGAAGTACTGACTGGACACCAAATGTCTAGTTACTGCCTGCAGGAGTGCTGGAATAGGGGGTTACTTAGGGTGACCGGACAGCAAATGTGAAAAATTGGGACAGGGGGGTGGGGGTAATAGGAGCCTATATAAGAAAAAGACCCAAAAATCAGGACATCTGGTCACCCTAGGGTTACTGCCTGTAAATACTACTGCCAACCTGTTCCCTGCTAGCTGGGTGTGGGGACTGGGAGGGGCCAGTGTGAGGTGCAGAACAGTGAGGGGGGTACCAGTTAATCAACCTGTATCAGTCCCTTCTCACTCAGGGCTGCCTCCAACCTGCATCTCCTGGGCAGGTAGGCTCCATGTTTGCTCCCAGCCTGGCTCTGCAGGCAGCAGGTGAGTCCCAGGGGAGGGGGAGTGAGTAAGTGGGGAAGGGGCCTGTAGCATCTGGTTTTAAGAAATTGGAAAGTTGGTAAACCTACTGAGGCCAGGAGGCTGCTAGGAACTGGAGTGCAAGAGACCCCTGGAAGGGGTGGCCCTGAAACCTGGGCCAAGAATGAAGTTAGGACTGTGTTCTGGTCCTTTTTTTTTTTTGTTTGTTTTTCTTCCCCCCCCCCCCCCCACCTCTGTTTAAAGCACAAACCTCCTTGACTGAGACTGTGTGTTGCAGCATATGCTTTGGCTCCAGGGAGAAGTGGTGGCCCTGGTGACAGATTACCCCCCCCCATGCCCGACACTCACCTTGGTGCTAGTGGTTTGGACCCTTCCTTCGGGGTCAGTACTGTAGGAGTGTCCCAGCAAAGTGTGAGGGAACCGTGGGCTGCTGGAGATTCTATTTTTCAGATGAATTAAGAAGGGGATCCTGCCCACTTGTCATTAAATAGTGTGTGACACTTTCCAAAGGAGGAAGGGGGCTGAATCCTGCACTTGCAAGGATCACAATGGACTGAGGTCAAGGAGACTCCACACAGGTTCAGCAATCTTCCCACACAGATCACAATGCAAGCTTGGGGATTTAGGTGTGTTAATCTCAGTCTCCCAAACAGAGTTCACTTCAGGAACAGACTCATATTCCTCTGTAACTAAAATTCCCCAGCAGTATCAATTGTACAGCCTATTCCTCACTTCATACTCTAATGATGCTACTACCTTCAATGCCTGAGGTGACTTCATCTCTGTGGGAGCCCTCTACATCTTTTAGCTTCCTCATAGGGGCAGTGAGACGCTTTGAGATTTTTGGATTAGATCTGGGCTGTGTATGTGCCATGTATTGTTTCAAGCAGAGGTTCTTAAAGTCAGCTATGTACAAAATGCACTTCAAGGATCTGTTGTGAGGCCTTCATTTTAGATGACCAAAAAACTCCTCCATGTGTAGTTAGTAGCAAAACAAATACCTCCCTGTATCCAAATGAGATTCTATGACCTCATTTAGAGTACTGTATGCAATTTGGGTCACCAAATTAAACAATCATTCAAATAGTGGTAAAGAATGCACAGTGGGCCAATGAGGATCGTTTGAAGTAAGGCATTAAATAAAATCAAATTACAGTATCTATGAGGGGGGTCTCAGATTGTGGAGTGTGAGAGTTCAGATTAAAAGACAAGATAACTCAGGGTTCTGAATTGAAAAATATTAGATACCGAAAGGAGTTGCTGGCATCTAGAATAGACATGGCTCAGGGACTACTAAAGGGGAAGGAATGATGTATATGTAGAAACATTTCTGGCTACGGCAGTTGAAAATCATGTGATCCTGCCTGTGAGGCAGTGACTGGATTAGGTGAACCTATACTGCTTCCATTGCAGTCAAAGCAATGAGCCACTTACATGAAACTTGATGTAGCTGATGCAACTGGAACTGCATTTTTCCTGAGCCTCATACCCTGACCAAACGTCCTCTAGTATTTTCTCAGTTAGGCAGGCTGTAAAATGGCCATGCTAACAAATTCACTATCAGGAAATAGTATCTTCTCTCCACGCAACACATGACGAATCAACCAGAAACTGCTCCTTTGCTGGGCAGGACACAGTGTCTCGACGCTGCAGAGAGCTCCCAAGGAGGAACAACATTTTAAAAATAAACCCTTGGTAATCATTACAGCTGAAGCAGTGGCCTAAAGTGACTCAAAACCTTTCCAGGTGTTGGTATCTGTTTCCTCCTTTAAAATGCCCACATCATCTCAGACAACAGGGAATTTCTGAAGAAGCACCGTATTCCAGTGATGTGTAATATTATCTGGCAAGCTTGTGGTTAATGGAAAACTTGTTAATATTGCTCATTTACAGCTTGATTCTGCAAGGCACGGAGCGTTTTGGTCCTAAGGCAAAGGACTTAAGCACCTACTAACTTTAGGCATGTGAGTACATACATTGAAATGAATGCAACTACTCATGTGCTTAATGTTAAACAGATGTTTATTTAAATGTTTTACTGGATTGGGGTCAGAGTGCCCAGCACCTTGTAGCATCAAGCTACAAGTGCAGTTAGAAACCTGGTGGGGGGAGGTGCCCCGATGCTATGGTGGTGCAATATATATTTTAATTCAATTCCAAGAAAACACTTCTAATTAAGACACAGTTTAGTCTAGTGGAGGGATAAGGGAATGTTTCCTTGACTGATGTATGGTGGATTTGGATGGATGGGTCTAAATGCAGTTCTCTCAGGGCTCCTAACAACTTCTGAGCTGCTCTGCTCGGAGCGTTGTGCTGGGAAGATTGTAAAGCATGCCAGAAATAATAAATCGCCATTAAATGGTCAGGGTCGGTGACAGTAAGGAATCTGACTTTCTAGACTTCTGCTCTCATTAGCACAGGTCTTTACAATGTGTATTTTAAGCACTGACTCTTGATCCTTCAGAGGAGCCCTGAGTGACTGAAGAGCTAGAGAAACTATACAATACATATATTGTTCCCACACAGATAAACAATTTGATAGGGTGTCAAGAAAAACCTTGCACTGACACACCTTTAATCCTTTCAAATTAAGTCTGTTTGGGGGACTTGGTTTACCATGCAGGGTGTTCTCATATTATTTACAGATAGTGATGACCTACCAGAAGAACATTCAGGGCCTAATCCTGCAAGGTGCTCAGTGTCCTCAATTCAAGAGTGCAGGAGCTGCTCAGTACCTTGTGGGCAGGGCCGGCTCCAGCATTTCTGCCGCCCCAAGCAAAAAAAAAAAAGCCGCGATCGGCGGCGGCAGTTCAGCAGCAGGTCCTTCGCTCCCAGAGGGAGTGAGAGACCTGCCACCCCCAAATTGCCACATGTGCCCCCCCTCTCCCTTGGCCGCCCCAAGCACCTGCTTGTTAAGCTGGTGCCTGGAGCCAGCCCTGCTTGTGGGAGCTGGTCCCCAGTCCCTAGCCCAGCTAATGCAGAATTACTCTGGAGTACTTTGTCTAACCCAGAAATCAGCACTGGGGATGCAATCACCTCCCTTAGAAAGCTAATCTGTTGTTCAATAAATCTTATTATTAAAAGCATTTTTCTCTTCCATCCATTATTTCTAGTTAATTCACTCAGAACAGTTCCCTCCCTCCCTGCCCAGCTCCTTCCTGTTGATGCCATTCAGGTACTTGTAGGTCATTTCTTTGCTGTCTCCCTACTTCTCCTATATGAATACGGATCTTCCTTTCACCTGCCCTACCTTGATTTAGGGTAACTAGTCAGGAATTGAGAATAATGGCCAACTGGAGCATAGCCATCATATGGCTTTCAGTTATCCTTTCATTCCAGGAGATCATTTCACGGAATTAAATCCTCCTGTCTCCCTCTATCTGCAGTGTGTGACTCCCTGAGGACAGGAGGCTATTTCAGTGTTGCTATCCATTATTCACTTGCAATGCACAGCCTCCCTCTAGCTGTTGAGTGTATTACCACAGCATACCCTAGCCCCACTACTTAGAGAGCCTGGGGCTAGCCTTACTATGTCTCCCAAGTGGCAACATGACATGCAATCCAGAACGCCATCAGACTAGCCCTGAAGATAGTTTTAAACATGAAAGCAAGCAAAGTAACTGAAAAGTCCTAAGAATCTTCGAATATGCAAAGCGAGTCAAGGGGGTTGGTAAAATATGCTATCAAATCCTTTCCTTGAGTAAAGAACTTTTAAAACACAAGCTACAGCTCAAAAATGTGTCTCTTTAGATGCTGCAGACTCAATGTATATATTTCTTTAAGATTTAACAAGGAAAAGAGAACGTCAACATTTAAAAAGAAAATTGGATAAGGCAGGCATCTCCAAGTAAGAGTATATATACTAAGAAGAATTTCAGTGCATTGTGAGGAGGAGGATTCCATGATGAGGCTAAATGTTGCAGCATACTATAATTAAGTGGTGAGTGTGTATACAGTAAACCTCTACCACGATAGAACGCTGTCCTCGGGAGCCAAAAAATCTTACCGCGTTATAGGTGAAACCACGTTATATCGAACTTGCTTTGATCCGCCGGAGCGCACAGCCCCGCCCCGCCCCCCCCGGAGCACTGCTTTACCGCGTTATATCGGAATTCGTGTTACATCGGGTTGCGTTATATCGGGGTAGAGGTGTATATGTACCTATGTCCTCTAGTGGTTAGAATCAGAATTGCTCAACTGTGTGTTATTGGCTCTATACTGTTAATAGGGATTCTCTGCTAGCTCAAGTGTTTGTCCCCTCCTCATTCCCTTCAAGGGTGAAAATTTTAGGGGAGGCACGTGGTAGGAATAAGAGATAGAATAAGCCCCATAACTAAACCAGCTCAGAAGATTCTCAGCATGTTAGGGAGGTACAGCATCAGGCCACCTCCTTGCTTGAACTGATTTTGTCCTTACTGAAGTTAATTTATGACAGCTTTGTTAAAGCAATTTCCCTGGTGGAAAATAAGGTAGGAATGCTCTATCACAGTGCTTGTTCTCGCCTTCCTCCAGGTTACCATTTAAGAATAGCTACAGTGGGCCACACAAATGCAGATGAAAGTACCACTGGTCTTAAACACAGTCTAAACTTAACACTTTCCAAACTGCAAAAATCATGGTGTGATTTTTTTAAAGCAGAAATATGCAACAAAAGAGAACCTAATGTGTTGAGAAATAAGATACTGGCACTGTTAAAATAATCTTGGCAAGCATAAATCATCGCTCCAGTGATGTAGAAGAGTACATGTGTGTGGATGTTATTAGGCGGTTGCTAAAAAATGCCAGAACTCCTCTGTAGCTAGAGAAAAGTTCAGAGTTAGCATATAGAAGAGATTGGCCCTTTCCACTAAAATCTAAATGAGATGTTCTCTGGTTTGCTTAACACCATCCACTAAGTAGCAAGGACTGAGTTACAGCTGAAAAGCTGCCTGGTTGGTTAAATACACATAAGTGTATATATAAAAAAAAAAAAACTATGAAAAGTATTTAAGGGGCAAGAGTGCCAAACTCAAAACACTGAAAGCCAGTGAAGTTATATCCCTACATATATCATTTTCCACATACACCCACCCTGACTAATATACTCCATCCATTTCCCTAGTACATGAACCCTATTCTAGTATAGCCAAGCACTCTAGCATGTGAGCTAGGGAACATACTCATTCTAGCTGTGTCTCAAATACCAGTGATCAATCCCATCAAGATAGGAATCTGGCCAAGTATGTTTGAGGAGAACACGGATGTTCTCTCCACTCTAACTTTTGAGTTTCCCTTTCCTGGAGAGACGTCTAGAAGTTTGGGGTTCTTGAGCATCTCAAAGCCTTAGTGGAAGAAGTCTGCCAGAAGGATTTGTAAATAGGGTGGAAAAAGTTTGCAGCAAAACTTCAGTCATTCTTTCAGTATGGCTTACAAATGGAGTACTGTACATCCTTCAGTCATGGACTAGTTACTTCAACACCTGCTGAGCTAGGATATGTCTAGACTGCAGTCACTAGGTGTGATTGCAGCTCGAGCTGACCTACCCATGCTAGCCTTTATCCAGCTAGCTCAGGCCCTGGGGCAGTAAAGCCAGGGCAGTGTGAGTTTCAGCATGGGTTAGCCCCACGAGGCAGTACCAAGGGTTCTGGGTTGGTTTGTACAACCCATGCTGAAGCTCATGCTGCCATGGCTTCACTGTGCCAGTACCTGAGCTCACAAGATTGAGTGCCAATAGCACCCAGTGATGTAAGGTAAGTCTCTGTTTTCGGTAGCCACCCACACAATCCATATATGAATTAGTCTCACCCCATAAATAAGCCCCCCCATGTTGTGAATTTTTAAGGTGCTCTGGATAATGCACTTGAATGCCCTTATTCAGCCCTCTATCAGTGTGCTTAGCCAGTCTGCTCATCTAGGAGAGGTTCTTCTCCCCAGCCCTCATTTTAGGGATCCTTTGAGCTATTTGGCCTGGGACAGTACACAGGCATTAAGGTCCAACTGCTTGTTTCAACAACAGTTTCTTGGGTATTGCTGTCAATAAAAGAACCAGGTCTGATAATTGTTTGTTTCCATATTTTACTGTGTGACCTAGATAAGATGTGACCTTAGTATAGGTCATCGCCACTGTCTGAGGCAGAACACCTTTTACTGTAAACCTTAGGGATGTTTCACTCACTATTAGATCTGCACAACCTATTTTCTGAAGTAGAGGTGTCCAAATTCTTCCCTCTACCCTGTCCAAAAGTTATTTTGGCCCAATCCTCAGCTCTGCTTCATCTCCCTTGGTCACAGCCGAGGAGGAGGAGAGCGGATGGGGCCTTTTTATGGCTCTACATAGATGAAAATGTCACCTTTTGGCTTAAAACTGATTGTTGAGGCCCCTAATGGGCCAAGTACCACTAATGCTGCATGGCTGGAATGTTCCCATCTGCTGATGTATTGGAGAGGTGCTGAGCTAGCTCTGGTTAGCCTCCAGCAGGCTTGAGACCCAAGAGTGATAATTCTGCAATAATCTCAAAGAATCAGAGTTACAAGACAAGTAATTTTCCTTTAGCCTCAATTTCTCCCATCTGTAAAGTAGGTAAGGCTAAGGTTACACAGTGAATCAATGGCAAAGGTTAGCATATAGAATCCATGTCTCCGGATTCTCACGCTGTCTCCATTAATTAGTGCTTTTTTTCAGCAAAACCCTCTTCCACTCCCTAAAAGACACAAGACTGATGTGATGTGCCCCTATATAGTGGGGCATCCAGGGTCCTGCTTCATTGCATTGGTTTGAGGGAAGGAGCATTACAATTCTTCTCACTTTCGCACTTCAGTTCCTAGGCTGTGAAATGACAATGCTCAATGTGCCAACTGCTGGGGCTGTTCCCTATCCTGGAAAAACACATCACATCCTCAGCCAGAGCAAAGGGAGAGCACCATTTTTCACTGCACTGTAGGATTGGGGACCCCGAGTGCAGATAAAAGCTTGTCTTTACTTAAAAATGGTACTGCTTTAATTATACCAGTATAGTTATGCTAGTATAATCCCCGAACATGGATGCAGTTATATTGGTATAAAGAAGCTTAGAGCAGTATAATTTATTCCCATTCAGGAGGAGGAATAAACTATACTGATATAAAGGACCTTTTTACTGGTATAACTGCGTCCGAGCTATGGGTGTACCAGTATAATTATATCCATTTTAAAAACAAAATCACACTCCTAACTGACATAGGTATACCACTGCCAATGCAAAACCTAGCAGCAGACCACACATAGTTTGCTGGCATTTTGTAATACGTGTGTAAAGACTCCCCTACCAGCTTAATATGAACCGTTCCAATTCTTTCCATGGAGACAATTTCACAGAAATATACTTGGTAAATAATGGGTCTCCATGGACAGAAGAGAGATAACTAAATAAACCAATAAAAATAACCAGAACTTTTCCCAGGACCAAGAGTTGGGAAAAGAGGGAGATATCTTGGGGCCCTTGTTTAGAAAATCCTGACATCTCTGTGGCCCTTCTCTTATTCAAAGGTGCCTTTTCATCACTTACAACAGCCTCCCATACTGACAGAGATCTACATCCTTCATAATGTTACCCACATCAGTATCTCTTACTAACGGCACTGGAATGAGCATCAATGCCTAACTGTTGTCTAATTGCCCATTCACTTAGGAGACATAGATTCTAACTCCATTAGGCAGTGCCAGCTGCCAGTGCGTAAACTGAATGACACAAACAATATACGCAGTGTGTCAGAATCTACTTAGCATTAGGAACCCAAGGTGCTGCTGTGTATTCAGGCTGTTGCACTACAAGTTAAAAGGGATATTGTCCAGATATTGATAATGTTTTAAAAATAAAACTTACCTTTGTTACTAACAACCCAGTGGAAACTTAACACTGAAATATGCCTGCAAATTCAACAGACCCTCTTGCAGGGATGCAACTTGCTGCTGTTGTGCTGCTGGCTGCAGCCAGTATCTGAGCTGCACACTTCCTGGTTCACGTGCACTACCCATGATGACATCATAGGCTTTTTAAAGGAGCAGTGTTCAGTCAACATCAACAGGGTGGATCAAACTGCTGCTGTGCCAAGCATAGCTAGGGCTTTGTAGCAGAGCAAGAGTCCTAAATTATATATGGAGAAACCTGTCCAGGGCTTCAGGTTAGAATCCAAATAATCTGCATGGTGGTGTATTTTCAGTTCAAAGATTTAGAGAACTTTGGATCAGGTGTGTGTGTGTTTAGAGGATACCAATCTGAATTAAACACGGGAGACAAAAGTACAAGATATAAGTCATTGGTTTCTGCCAGTTTTCCAGTAGCATAGGTCTTTTGCACAGAAAAATGACTGAAATATCTGCCAGTCTGGTAAACTTCCAACATCCCAAACATTTGGGAACTTCTTAGTCACTTTGTGAATTAAATTCAACAGAAGTTTATATCCCCATGCTTCACTCAGCTGCTTTGGAATACACTGAGGAGCCAAACCTTTATTTATTCTGTAATATTTGGTGTTACATTGGCGAAATAACCAGCCTTTCCCTTACACAGGACCAGAATGCACCAGAACCACTATGACCCCCTTCCTTCCCCCCCCCCCCCCACCATCATCAACATTGCCAACAGCCCCATATTACAAGGGATGTCCCTTATTTAAATAGAAAATTACCTGTCCCGTGCTTCACCTCCGTACAACAAGATTGGGAGTTGCAAAAAGCAGCAAGAAATTCCCCTGGCAAATGTAGGTGAGTACTGCTTATTATTAATAATAATAATTAATAATCATGATAATGATAGTGGTGCAGTCCCTCATTTTTGAAATACAACGTTGGAACCCTACCCCCGCACGTGCACACACTCATACCACCAACACTGTCACGGCCACCGCCCCTGCACAGACAGGGGAACTAGCATATGCAGAACCCCACTGAGGTCTGTGCCGCCCCCAACAGGCTGTAGAGCCCAGCGAGGGCTCCCTGTTCTTAATATGCTGTGTAGTGGATTTGGGATAGAGTGGTTTGGAGCCCATGTATCTATGACTGCAGATTCATTGGACGTAGCAACCCCTTTCCTCTCCATGTAGATAGAGCAGCTGTGACGTCTGCTACAGACCTGATGTTCCAGTAGCAGCTGCAGAGCTACACTGAAGCTGCTCTGTAGCCTGGAGGGAGGAATTTGAACTCTCCAAAGCGTATGACCTCCTTAGCATGCAGCCCATTTACTCGGGGCGTGGGTATTGTTGGGATCAGGGTATGACTCATTATATTTGTAAAGTGCTCTCATGATAGTGATCTTACACTAATCTTTCTACACTATAATATGGAAAATATGAGATCATAATGCAAATGATTTCACTCCAAAAATGACTTATTAATCAAGATTTATGGGCACTATTTAAGGGTTAACTGTTAATAGTGTTAATGTGGAAAAAAATTATCTCCAGGAAATTATTGTTGAGTATGAGAGAGATCATTCTTATCATAAACAACATTAATTGTCTAAAAGGAATAGCTGTGATTTCTGAAACGATTGCAGATCATAAGTGTACTAATATAACTGCCAATGAATATCCCATTTCAAATTGCAAATATTGAGGTCAAGAGATTTTTTTATGAATAAATATCAAGGGATTAGGCTAGAGAAGTTAAACAAGGTTGTACATTTTAACCAAACAAGATCCCAAGAAGTAAAAGGTCACAATTTCAGCCTGAAATACGTTACAGTTGTTGAAGTTATTAAAAAGATCCTGGTCACTGAATTTTGTCAAATCATCAACAAATGATGAAATAATTATGGATGAAATCTCAGCAGATGGCATCTCTTATTCCTTGGCTATCATGTTTGAAGTTGGGATATGCAGCCCCAGCCACATCCCTGAGGCACAGAAACAGGCTGATGTAATATTCAACTTGAAGACAAAGTTGGGTATGCCATACATATTTATGAAAAAGTACTTTATTTCCAGAGCTCCGTAGGCCTAGTAGAAACAAATCAGCTAACAGATTACCTAAAACGTCATATAATGATTACAGATGTGACTGATGTGCTGAATGATGTGCATGTGTCTCCAAGGGAGGGGAGGGGGGAATCACAGATGCAAGAGGCAACTCCTTGCCTGAGGAGGTTGTGAAGGCTAGGACTATAACAGGGTTTAAAAAAGAACTAGATAAATTCATGGAGGTTAAGTCCATTAATGGCTATTAGCCAGGATGGGTAAGGAATGGTGTCCCTAGCCTCTGTTTGTCAGAGGGTGGAGATGGATGGCAGGAGAGAGATCACTTGATCATTACCTGTTAGGTTCACTCCCTCTGGGACACCTGGCATTGGTCACTGTCGGTAGACAGAATACTGGGCTGGATGGACCTTTGGTCTGACCCACTATGGCCATTCTTATGTTCTTTTAATTGACCAAAGACTTCTCTGTGATAGTTATTACTCGATTCATTATATTCCCTCAGTACTGATAGACTCTCTTATATTGTCAGTAATTTCCCAGTAATTTGTGACTTTGTGTTGTTGTTTTGAACTTGAAGTACTGAAAGCAGAGTTCCTAATTTGAATACCAGGGCTTCATTCTGTTTCAGTTACAATGGTGTAACTCATGCTATACTCCAGAATAATGCAGCAGATTTTGGTCTCCAATGTCATAAGAGCTATACTGTTTGCAACTGTTAACCAAGTAAACCAAGTTAAAAAAATTCAATAAAACAAATAGTCTCTCCTAGTTTTTAAGCTTGTGTTGTCATTGAGTCCTACTAACTAGAAAAACTGTACACAGGTGGAGAGAAACAGCCATGTATTAAATTGTACATTGTAGGGGCTTGCCCACACACAGAAGTTGTGCTGGTTTAACTTAAATCTATTAAAAAAAAATTAGTTAAACAAGTGCAAATCTCTGTGTGGACACACATATCCATTTAAAACTGGTTATATCAGCTTGGCTTGCTGTAAATTTACAGATACTCATTTATTAAGGGATTCTATAGGTATTTTACCCACCACTGACACACAGCCACCTCTGGGACAGAATGAAGCAGCTGTTTAACATTTCACAGGCAATACTACACAACAGTTCAGGACAGCAAGGTTAGGACTCTCTGCTTTCCTGTATAATTATGGAGCTGCGTTTCCCTCTTCCATTACATCTGCCTCAGTCCCCACGAATAGGAACAGTTTAAATTAGCCTCTGTCTTAACCTCTAGAACACTGCTGCTTTTCAAAGTGCCCATACCTCTGTTACAGAAGGGAGTGGCAGGGAAACCCAGAGGAAATGATTTAGAGACTTAAAATGCAAGTATGAACTACATAACCTCCCTGGAACAGTACTATAGATTCAAATCCCAATAAGATTTACTCAGCTCTTTATCTGTTTGAGGGCGATTACATTGACTACAAAGCAGTGCATAGTGTGGGATCTTTCAGACGAGACCTTGAACAACCAGGAGCCTTTTGCGCTACATGGACATGTAATGATCCCATGGCACTTTTCCTAAGAGAAACTGAGCAAGGTAAGCACCACCATGGAGGGAATAATGTGTGTCAGTGCTCTGCACAAGAGGCAGGAGATCATTATCCTGTGACAAGAATCTATTTCACTGGCATTCTCCTAATTAAAACCAGTGGCTGAAATAAAAACAAAACACAAGTAATAAAAGGAAAGAAAAATGGTTGACGCTAAACATTTGGTACATGGACACTGAACAAACAGAACAGGAGCAAAGCTGAGGATGTCGACAATGGGAAGGGGGAGTGACCACATGGTATAAAAGATTTCCACAAATAACAATAATAACCAAGTTGTTGGTCTTACTGATTCACCTCTGCCTCTCATGACCTTACAGGTAAACCCCTTAGCCGTGGTCTACACTAGGGGGAGGGATCGATTTAAGTTATGCAACTTCAGCTACGTGAATAACATAGCTGAAGTCAACGTACTTAGATCGACTTACCGTGGTGTCTCACCACAGTGAGTCGACTGCTGCCGCTCCCCCGTCGACTCTGCTTGCGCCTCTTGCGGCGCTGGAGTACAGGAGTTGACGGGAGAGCGCTCGGGGGTCGATTTATCGCGTCTAGATTAGACGCGATAAATCGATCCCCGCTGGATCGATCGCTACCCATGCCAATATGTCATCATGTGCCAGCAATGCCCCTCTGCCATGTACACTGGCCAAACCGGACAGTCTCTATGTAAAAGAATAAATGGACACAAATCGGACATCAGGAATGGTAACATTCAAAAGCCAGTAGGAGAACACTTCAGCCTTCCTGGACATTCTATAACAGATTTAAAAGTAGCCATACTTGAACAAAAAACTTCAGAAACAGACTTCAAAGAGAAACTGCAGAACTAAAATTCATTTGCAAATTTAACATCATTAATTTGGGCTTGAGTAGGGACTGGGAGTGGCTGGTTCACTACAAAAGCAGCTTTGCCTTTCCTGGAATTGACACCTCCTCATCAATTATTGGGAGTGGACTACATCCACCCTGATCGAATTGGCCCTGTCAACACTGGTTCTCCACTTGTGAGGTAACTCCCTTCTCGTCATGTGTCCGTATATAATGCCTGTATCTGTAATTTTCACTCCATGCATCTGAAGAAGTGGGTTTTTTGCCCACGAAAGCTTATGCCCAAATAAATCTGTTAGTCTTTAAGGTGCCACCGGACTTCTTGTTGTTTTTGTGGCTACAGACTAACATGGCTACCCACTGATACGTGAGTCCCATTTCAATATAACTCATGAAGGCAAGCAACTGAATATTTACAAAATGTACAAGTGCTATATACACATGCTAGAAATCTAAATACTAAGATGGGTGAACTAGAGTGCTTGGCATTTGTCAAGGCTCCTTCCCCACTCTGAACTTTAGGGTACAGATGTGGGGGCCTGCATGAAAACTTCTAAGCTTAACTACCAGCTTAGATCTGGTCCGCTGCCACCTCTCCCAATGTGTTAATTCCCTTCCCTGGGTAGCC